TGTTTTATTCTTACATGAAACAACTATCATCTTTTAAAAGTTAGAAACTAAGCCTGAAACACTAAAGGGCCTGTTCCTGACTTCAGAGTAGGAGGATGAACTGAAACTTAATTTCAGTTTTTCTGATTCCACACTCCGTTTCTCAGTGGTCATCGATTTTGTCGTACATCAGTTTTCTTCCTTTCGCCTCTTTTCTTCTTTCCTTAAGGCCGCACTGCACTGTGCTTGCTGTCCATGACGAGTTTGGTGGGGCCTGCCTTGGCACATTTCATCCTTTCTTCTCCCCCGCACCCCTGGCTTAATCTCCCTACCCGGCCCCTTCACCTTGCTAATTCCTCCTTTCCCTCTAGGTGTCAGCTTAGATGTCCTCCATGAGTAACCTTCCAGGAGCACAAGCCCAGTCCTGGAGGAGGTGCCTCCCCTATGTGCTGGCAGAACATTTCATGTCTCCCTCAAGATCCCTGGCTCCTTGAAGACAGGGATTATGTCTTACTTATTCAATATTGTGATGCCTCCAACCTGGCAGAAATCTAGTTTCCAGACCTCACAAACAGCAAATCATTTGACTATAGAAATATGTAGGAAGACACAAATAAGGAGGGCTCTAAAAAAAATCCATAGTTTAACAATTCCTATGAGCCTGAATCTTTCTGTAAAGCTACTAAAGAACACTATCTCCCTAAAATACTAGAACGACTTCTATCCCACTCTGCCTCTAATATGGCCTGATGACACAATCCATCTCCCTGTAATTCAGTGTTAAGTAGATTATAATACTGTTAAAAATATCACAATTCCTTTCTTTTATCATGAAAGAAAAGAAAAGCTGGCTATAATAGGATTTCTGCATCAGCAATATTTACTTGAAATCTGCTTCACTATTACATTATGACATTTTAATATCAAATATATCAAACCTAGAGACAGGAATAGAAAACAGCAACCACCCCGGCACCCATTATTCAGTTTTATTAAATCATAACTTTCTGTCATATTTAACTTCATTTAAAAAAAAAACATTATGAACAAACCTGAAGTATGATTTCTACCCCTCCCTAATATTGAAGAAGGTCATCGATAGCCACTCCAAATCTACCTCCTTTTTTTTTTGTTTTGCAATTTTTGGCCAGGGCCAGGTTTGAACCCACCACCTCCTTCAATATATGGGGCTGGTGCCCTACTCCTTGAGCCACAGGTACCACCCGATAAAGTTAGTTTTATGATATAAATAAATAAATAAATACATAAATAAAATGACCTGGGCTACCTCCTAGAAAAAGACACTATTCTGAAGTTGATAAATGTATATGTATGTGTCTGTGTGTGTATATATACTGGATTATTTAGTGGATTCTTAAATATTACATGAAACTACTCATTTGACAATATGGCAGTCAAGTTTTAACAAACCTTGCTAAAAAGAGAGGAGTAGAGTAGGATAAATTACAAGAATCCCTTTAAATACATACTTGAGTTTACACATGAGTAGAGGAAATCTGGAGGTATGCCATAACAGGTGAACCAAGGGTACTGAGTAAGTACGAAAGTCACAGCTGAGGGAATGGGGACTACAACTCCCGCATAAGGCCAGAACTTTATACTGCACCCAATTTCTCTACATCTTTGTCTACGCTTGCAAATGTTAGATTTTTAAAATCAGTACCAATAGTTCCCAGTGGTTTTCATTTGTTTTTCCCCGATTACTACTATGTGGATCACCACAACAATTTTCAGACAGACTGTTCACTTCCAAGAAACACAGTCAACAGCCTTTCTGATTCACCCAGGTGAGTTTCGCCCTGCTTAGCTTGCTGGTGTTGCTAGAAGAGCCTCATTTGTTTCTGTCCAGGGGGATTTTATGTTCCTTGATTTTTGTGTATTTCCAAACTTTCATAACAACCCATGTAAAGGTAAGTATATATTTACTGGTCATTTTATTTATTTATTTTTACTATAAAATTAACTTTATTGGGTGGCACCTATGGCTCAAGGAGTAGGGTACCAGCCCCATATACTGGAGGAGGTGGTGGGTTCAAACCTGGCCCCGGCCAAAAACTGCAAAAACAAACAAACAACAACAACAAAAAAAACTAACTTTATTTTTTTTCCCATTAAAATTTCTTGGCTAAGTATCTATATTGTCCTGATGACTTCTGGCTTCTGGTTCTAATTTTCTTGATGGACACCATGTCTTTACCCTCCTTTGGATTTTCTGCATATCTCTTAATACCCCGGCCACTGGCCACTCAGGTTCACTCTCCAGGTGTTGACTTTAGGCTGGAGTTCAGCCTTTCCGGATCTTGGGCACATGGCATCTGAACTTCCTCTCACTCCTTTCTCTGGTTCTTTGTGTGGGTTTCTACACCTGCCTCCGCCCCCTTCCCCTCTGCTGGGTCAGCCTGGGGGCTCTTATTCTATCTGACAGATCTCAGGCACACTCTGCTTTCACCAACTTTGCCCCTCAATGTGGGTTCCTCGACCCTGTCTCTGGGTCTTGAGTGTGCAGTTCCTGGGAAGTCTTTAAGAACTTCTTTTTACTTCTCTTTACTTTTTCTGCTGGAACAGGAGCCTCAGTTCTCTGTTGCTCTGTATCAGCTTAATTTTGCACAGTGACATTCCCTTATTTGAAGAGACCGCCTCCTACTCTGAGTTCCCTTTCCTTAGTTTTCACACTGTTGCTGGTCAGATCTTCCATGGGTTCAATGCTTTTCCCAGCTGCTCTCAGACGTCTCTTCACCACTGCCAAGGGTGCAAGTGACGGGCCTCCCTGGGCGCAGACTGCTGCTTCTTGCTGACTAGCAGCCCCCCTGCAGTCCCCTCTGCAGCAGTCATGCAGTGCAGCCCCTGGGTTCCTGTGTGTGACATTTTCATCTTTTCTGCATTTCTTCCTAGAGGACATGGAAGTATGCTTTGTGATCTTCCAGGGTCTCTGGTCCCCACCACATGTTCCATGGGTTTTACTTTACTTCCGCAGATCAAAGGACCCTTCCGAGTATTTTTGGAGGTTTCCCGCTGTCTGGGGTTTGCTTTGGAGCACTACCGGTCATTTTTAATATATCATCTGTCACCTTCCCATTCACCCATTTCGTTCTTAGGCTGCTTACTATTTATTTGGAAGAGTTCCTTATAAATATTGAAAATTACTTGACGTACCACTGTATTCCTATTAGAATGGCTACAATTAAAATGACTAACCACATCAAGTGTTGCTAAAGATGTAGAGCAACTAGAATCTTCACACACTACTAGTGGGAATTTAAAATGGTACAACCACTTCATAGCCCAATTTAGTAACAAAGTTAAACATACACCTACTATTTAATGTAGTCATTCCATGCCTAGGAATGGCTAGGTAAATACCCCAAAGAAATAAAAGCTTCTGACCACAGAGAGACTCATACATGAACTTTCATGGAAGCTTTACTCATAACAGCAAAAAACTGGAAACTACCCAAACATTTATCAATGAATAAATGGATAAACAAGCCATGAAATGGAATACTTCTTAGCAATGAAAAAGAATGAACTGCTAATATACACTATGACATGGATGAATCTCAAAATGATTATGCCAAGTAAAATAAGCCAGACAAGGTCACACAGTCTTTGATCTCACTTACATAATTCTGAAAAATAAAAACTAATAGTTACAGCAGATCACTGGTTGCCTGGGGTAAGACGTGAGGAAGGACAGGAAGGAGGGATTTCCAATGCGTAGGAGGAAACTTTTGAAGATAATGGATATATTTATTATCTTGATCAGGTGGTGAGTTCATGGATATATATATGTCAAAATTTATAAGACTATGAAAATATGTTCACCTCATTGCATGTCAACTTATTGTATACTTTAGATAAGTATAGTTTATTTTATGTAAATTATATCTAAATAAATCAGCGTTTTTATTAAAAAGTTCACAAGAATAAAAGAATAAAGGAGAATCCTAGGGCGGTGCCTGTGGCTCAAAGGAGTAGGGCTCTGGCCCCATATACCAGAGGTGGCAGGTTCAAACTGGAACTGCAAAAAAACCCAGGAGAATCCTAATAAAGATAGGCCTCTCAGCATTTCCCAAATTTAGGTCTCAATTAGCAAAATCTCCTAACCTTTTATACACATTTTGTTAAAAACAAACAAAACATCACCTCAAGTAAGCTAGAAATAGAAAGAGGAAGAGGTGGCATTACCAAAGAGAATTTTTTTTGAGAAATAATTGACAGAAAGTGTCAAAATGAGAGTCCAGATCTTAACAATATAATTCCTCCTACAGGAAATACACTGTTAATATTTTAACTGCTAATAGTATTATACTAATCAGTGTATCAATATGTAAAATTTTGTACTGGACTCAAGTTTCATTTAATGATAATAATACAATATCAATCAGCCTGTATACTTTCTCCCCATTGATGACATTGATCCTAAAGCGTTATTATTCTTATCAAAGACTATAAATGTTTGTCTTTCTTTACCTAATTCCATTTTCATACCTTCCTTTTCCTTAAATGGAATAAATCAGGAAATCCCTAAGTTGTACCCCACTAAAAACTAGAAGCATTAAACTACACCTTAGATCAAAAAAATCTAGATACCAGCCTTATTTGTTTAGAAGATGATAATTGTTGAGCCTCTAAAGACAAAGGCACAGCTTGAGTATTTCCAATCTGAAAATCCAAAATGTTCCGAACTCTGATACTTTTTAAGTGTCAAACTGACCCGAAAAAATGGAAAATTCTACACCTGACCTCATATAATGGGGTATGATCAAAACACAGTCAAAACTTTATTTCATGCACAAATTATTTAAAATATTATATAAAATTACTTTCAGGCTATGTAAAGTGTATATAAAACATAAATGGAATTCATGTTTAGAATTGGGTCAAAGATATCTCATTATGCATATTCAAAAATTCCAAAATATGAAAATTCCAAAATCTGAAATATTTCTGGTTCTACATAGTCTGGATAAGGGATACTCAACCTGTGTCTGAGTACCTACCATCTCCAAAAAGATATGTCACAAGCCTGGTAAGTGTTTGCTTAAGATCAAACTCTACAAGCTTCATGGCTTCCATGGTGTGTGTCTCTTGCTTATGGGCAGAGCGCGAACTCTGTTCAAACAGCTGCAGGCTTTCTCCATCCTTTATGCCAGCAAATAACTGTAAACCAAACAGAATAATGCAAATAAATGAAATAGTATCCTGGTACAGCTATATCAAACATCTTAAAATTTAAAATGGGTTAAATTATGCTAATTTTTTAATTCTAAGTTATAATGTGGGAATAAGACTCATTATATCATAGTCAATAAACATAATGACATTAACATTCATTTAGTACCAACTCTGAACAAAGTACTATGCTACATGGTATGGAAGGTCTTTAGAGAATTAAAAGATATTGTTCTGATCTTTGCTGATCTCTATTTTAATTTGCCTGAACTTATACTCTTTTCCTAACAAGAGAAGGTTATCCTCAATTCTAATAGAAATATAGGTGAATCAGGCTTTCAAACTTGAAAATTATATTCCTGACCATTCTGCAGGTGGTTGCTAAGGCTCAGGGAATGATCAGAAAAATGGGAATAATAATAGTGTATAAGTAGATTTGATTACAAATAAAATAGTGCATGAAAATTACAGAGTATATGGAACATTCCAATGGCTAGGTAAGTTTTCATCCTTATTAATCTCTATTATTAGTCATAAGTTGCTTTACCATTGAAATGAAGTATCATTATTAGCAATGTAGCAGAACTTACTCGATAGGAGATTAGCTCAAGATGGATAATTAAGCAAATACATCTATCATTCTTCCCACATGAAATCCCATGAAGTCAAAAATAAAAAATGTTTTACAAGAAGGGGTCAATTGCCATTCTGGTGATGTTGGTTTGGATAATTAGAGACAAACCTGCTAATAAAGGCTACTAAAAAACACAAAAATTCTTAAAAGCATTGAAGAAAGAAAACAAAAAGGAAGAATTAATAAATAAAACTCTACAAGAAGCATGAAGCTGGAATAAACAAAACAAAACAAAAAATAGCATAAAAGCCAGAGAGAAGCATTGATTGTATCTGCCTTATACAACTTAACAAGTGAAAACTTGAACAGTGGTTGTGACAACTTACCACGGCAAGTAAGACAAAAATGAAAGCCTGTTGTCTGGCCACATTGAGGTGTTTGATGAACAGCCCGAAAAGGACTCATCCACGTGGTAAGGATAAGCACAAAAGTTAGGCCTTGCAGTCAGACACCACATTTCCTGAGCAATAGAGAAAGCCTCAGGCTGCAAAAATGAACTAATGCAAGTCCAGACCGATAGTCCCTCTAGATGTCAAGTAAAAGGAAACAAAATGATTTTGGAAAAAATTCTATTATCCTTGGCCTCCAATTATTCTTACAGGACCTAAAACAATGACAGTTGTTAAGGTCTGTATCTAGTAATATGGGCTCCCTCTAAAAGTAATTTAGAAAAAAGGAACAAATAATACTCTTAAATATTGTACCTTCAGCATAATTTGAAGAGAAAGAATACCCCAAAGTTCAAAATAACTATATATAAGGAGGAAGAAAGAAAGGAAGGGAGGGAAGGAGGCAGACAGGCCAGGTAAAAACTTGAGAAAGAACTACTATATTCCCACCTCACTACAAGCCTTCAAGGTAAGCAAGGACAAGCTAAGAAAAACAAAGGGAAAGAGGGAAGAGGGGGAGCAAGGGAGATGCTAAGGCTGATCTAAAATCACCACCAGGGTAAGTTATCCTATGTGTGAAAATCCTAGAACGGTTTCCTAGTAGACCTGAGCAAGGACCACAGGAAAGGAATGTGGAAGCATGGCCAATTTGAAGTAACAGACTTCACAAAGCATGGTTAAAATGGAAAAGATAGGGACAAAAGAAAGTGAAAGATAAGCTTCGCAAATGGGTAGGAAAAAGGGAAGAAAGGAAAGGGAACATTTAGGGTTACACAAGATAAAACACACCTCAAAAATTAGAGGATTTACAAAATATCCCCTAACTTCTCCCCCCAAAAGTTATTCACTGAAGACTCTGTGCTTGCTACACCAACAGAAGAGGGCACCAGAGAACCAGAAAATCTATAAAACCAAAAACCAAAAAACCAACAAAAAGGAGCAAAAGAAAATTCAGTACAAATATAGAAACTTATTACCCCAAATCAAAAAGTCAATTCAAAATATTTCACCTAACAAAAATCCAACTCCTTTCCCCTAAAAAACAAAACGAGGAAGTAGAAGAAAAGTATAAGTTAATATTTACAAACTAAACATGGTGAAACAAGCATTTAGGGATATCAATAATTGCTTAAGTCAGCAAAATTAAGGACAAAGGTGGATAAAGAAAACCAGAAGGAAAGTAAAAGGAAGCTGATTGAACTCAGGAAATAAATAAAAGAAATAAAATCATCTCAGAACTAAGGTCTGAATCACAAAGTATGCAAGAAATAATGGGGTCTCTGAAGATCTAACAAGAGACATGGATTAAAAGCAGGAAAACAATAAAAAGAGGGACAATGAAATAAAGAAAAATCAGAGAGGAAGCAGCAGGAATACAACACTGGCAAAGAAGGAACAACATTTACATAATTGGAGTCCCTAAGAGAGGAAAGACAAACCGTGGAACAGAAATAATATTATCAGATAAAATGGGTACCTGAGAAAATGAACCTAGCAGGATCAAACACAGAACATATTCTAGTAAAACTTCACAGATAAGGAGAAAATATTCCCAAGGCCTCTAGGCAATAAGCTCGATTGGAAGATGTCGAACTAACATTGTCAAAAACAACATGGAAAAGAAGGCAACAAGGGAGCCACATTTTCAAATAACCAAATTTTGTAAAGTGTGCACAAAATTTTCATATATCTATCAATGCTGAAAGAGATTCTGTCATTGGTAGACAGATAAGGTTTTAAACACACAAGAGCATAGGGAATGTTACACTAATAAGCTCTTTCTGAAGCATTTACCAAAGCATGAGCTTTGTTCATACAACAAATAACTAGGAAAGAACATATTAATACACAAAAATTAATACACAAAAAATTGTAAATGTGAGAGTACAAAAAAGGTGAAGGCTAAGTTAAAAGATTAACATATGGGCAGCGCCTGTGGCTCAAAAGGGTAGGGGGCTGATCCCATATGCTGGAGGTGGCAGGTTCAAACCCAGCCCTGATCAAAAATTGAAAAAAAAAAGAAACATTAACATACAATTGTTACATGCTCTGTCAGAGTAGAAGTAATGTAACTAAAAAATGGAAGAAAGGGAAAGCAAAAGGGAAGTAGAATATACTCATTATTATATAGGCAATAGGCAAGAACAGTTAAAGAATGCCTTTAGGACAAACTAGATAGTATAAATTTGAATATGAAAATAGGGAGATAAGGAATTAAAACGCTTTAGGTATAAAAGCAACCATTAAAATAAATACATAACCTAAATAGCAACAGAAAGATTAAAGAAATCCAACAAATATAACTAGGCATAGAACTACAAAATATCAATATTACAACAGAGTTTAGACTACATGTATCAATAAATACCAATAAATGTGAAAGTTGTATCAATAAATATAAACAAGTTGAATTCACCTCCTAAAAGGAAAAAAAAAAACAACATTAAATTTGGCCACAAAACATGGCCCAACTATATGCTGTATACAAGAAATCCTCCGAAAACAATGTTAAAAACAAAGGAATGGAAACAGGGCAACAGGCAAATGGGAACAATAAAAAATAAAAATAAAAAAAAAAAACAAGCATAGCATTCTTGATACCAGACAAACTAAAATTCAAGCAAAAAAATAATAAACATGACCAAAAAAAGATTTCACATTAATGCTAAAAGTTTCAAATCGAAGTCAAGTCAATGTACCAACTGCCATCCAAATACTTCTGTGATCTCTATGAGAAGACACGATTACCGCTGCTCCAGCAGACCAATGGCAGTATGCTTCTTGGAGGGGAGACCCGGGATAGAGGTTTACCAACTTCCACAGAGCCTTGCATGCCAGAAGTTTATCGGCAAGTTCCTTCTTACAAACAATTCAGCGTGTTTCCACAGTGCACTCTATACCAGAGAATACTTGAATTGATACTTGTTCCAACTCTCCTTTCTGTTAGTGTGCTTACAGCCAGCACTCGGTTCCCTTGCACCCGAGTCCTCCCCTCTCATTCTTGTTAGTGTGCATCCAGACAGCACTCTGTTCTGTAGGACCCAAGTCCTCACCTCTCCTTCCTGTTAGCGTGCATCCACACAACACTCCATTGAATGGCCATTGGCTTCTTTTCTTACAGACTCTTGTGGGTCAATGTTCCTTCACAATAAATGTTGAGACAGTTATATGTGCGGTCAAAGCAAGTATTCTCACGAATAGAAAAAAATAATAATAATAAAATAAAATAAATAAAAGTTTCAAATCACAGTGAGGATATAATACTTGCAAATATCTATACATCAAATAAGACAAGAATCATCCTTTTGTAGAAAGAGCCATAGGAGAAAGAAAAGACACACATCGGAACACACTAACCACAATAGGAGATTTTGATGCAACATCCATAGTATAAGACCAAATGTGCAAAATTAACTAGAATCCTAAAACATATAATTAAGAAAGGAAATCTCATGCACATATATCTATAGTGATAGTAATAGTACTAATAAAAAATTACCTTATAGTAATAAAGTAGCAAGGTAGTACTAATAGTAATAATAAAAAATCCTTTTATAGCAATAATAAAAAATACAACCTCTTCTAAAGAATCAAAAAAAATTAACAAAAATTGATCAAATATTAGGTCTCAATAAAAAATATATGTTCCATAAAGAAGGAATAATAAACTCCCCAAGATACAAAAAACTAAAAATCAGTAACAATAATAACAAAAAATTTTAAGAAAATAGAAAGTGCCTCACCTGGAAATTGAAAAACAAAAAAAATCCAGGAAACATACACCACAAAGAGATAATATCCCTAACCTATAAAAAACTTTATAAAGTTGACAAAGGGCAAAAAATTCAACAGAAAAATGGAAAAAATACATAGACAATTTATAAAAAAAAAAAAACATGAAAATCACCCTTAAACATATGAAAAGGTATTCAAGCTTAGAGAAATGCAAATTAAAACACTGACAT